GGTTGACATCTGGGCCTGTTTTTCTCCACCTTACAACTTAAACACCTTGTGACCTCACCCCCCAAAATCCCCCCACCCAGCATGCGGGGGGGGGGAATTCTGGGAGTTGGTCCACACGTCTTAAAGTTGCAAGGTTGAGAAACACTGGACTAGATCCTTTGGAAATGGAATCATCAAAGCAAGGGGTCTGCGGAAATGTCTTCTGGGGGCATGGATTTGTCTGTACATGACCCCACATTGAGGGTTCCCCCAAGAGGAAATCCAACTTCGGGGTGGGGGAAGAGCCAGCCCCAAATACCAGCATTTTGCCTCTTGCAGATGCCTCCAGCCCACAACCATGGCATAACCAGCTTTGCTCCTGGCCCGTCATGCCAAGGATCCTGCAGGGCACCCGGCCGGTCGGGTTGAAAGCAGCAGCGTTGGTAAGTTCCCTGCCAGCTTTGGGGCTTCGAAAAGCGACAGCGAGGAGACCTGCGAAGCAATACGTTGCAGGCCTGCCGGTTCGGCCGGTCAGATGAGCTCATCTCCTCCTGCCCCCCTGGTGTGCCCCCCCCACCCCCCCGGATGCTGGGAGTCTCCGGAGCACTTCCGTGTATTACTGTTGGACAGGAAAACGGTGGGTGAGGCAGGGAAGGGAATGCAGCAGACACCTTCTGCGGATGGCGTAGCAGCCCCCACCCAAAGGGACGCCCAGTTCACCGGGAGCGGCTTCTCCCGGGCCCGGCTGGTGGGCGGGCATTGCCAGGTGAAATGGGGGTTCTTTGAAGGCTGCTCGGTCTGTTTTCCCCAATTCTCCCTCTTTTCAGGGTCCAACCAGTTTCCCTGCGAAGCTGCAGCTCTCCTTAGAGGTGGAAGGAGAAACTCTGCTTCTGGATTTGGGGCAGAATTGGTGAGTTGGGGCCGTGCCGGAAAGGCCCCCAGAGGCGCAGGGGTCTCCCGGTTGGATTGGTCCCCGAGATGGTACTAACCTAGAGAGGTCAGCCTGTTGCTCCGGACGCAGGGAAGTGTTAAAACCATAAGGCTGTCCTTGAAGTCTGTTGTTATCCTCCATTGGGGGTGCCTGAATGGGGATCCCTGCCCTGAACTGGAGGTTGGGCTTGGTGACCTCAAGGGCCCCTCCGACTCTGGAGTTCTATCTGCAAATATAAATGCAGTTTTTTTAAAAGCGCAGAATCTCTGTATATATATATATAAAAAAGAGAGAGTCACAGGAAGGTGTCCAGCTTCGGTCTAAGGCACCAATCCTCAGTGTTTCATGCACCAGGGAGGCTCCAGCAAGCCCTGAGCGTTTGGCGGAGCTTCCACGTGCAGGAGCAGTCTCTCTTCCGAAACCTGCTGCCAACAGAAAGGAGAACTGGGAGTTGGGTGGAGATAAAGGGAGTCAAAAAGCTGCCTTCCTCTGCTGCGAGGTTTCCACGAGGCGTGTTGGAAATGGGAGGCCGATGCGGAGAGCAAAGCGGAAACAGCAGGCGTTTTCTTACGGGATTTACATGCAAAGTTGGCTTGTGCTAAAGGCATCTTCTTCATTTGCAGGGAGCTGGTGAGGGGCACCCCAGGGTTACTCTATTACCTCCCAAATGGGACAAGAATCTTGCAGCCAACGAACCCAGAGGTAAGAACCACATTTATTTTCTCAGCTTCACCTGCTACATATCAGCGTTTAATGCCTCCCAGCTGAAACCGCACATCCCAGACATGCTTTTAATCCTGGTGGCGCGACTCAGCCCTGACAGACTTCTGCCTTGACTTTTAAAACCACACTGGAAACCTCCAGAGTTTCCTTCCCCTGCAAATTCTGGCTTTTGACCTTCTTCCCGGGAAGCTTGAGAATTTCTGTTGAATTTCTCTGGCTGAGGCTCTTGAACTTGTGGCGAGCAGATTCCCTTTCCTCCAACGGGCTCAGAAACGGGAGAGGGAAATCTGTAATAATTCATAGTACGTGCGGGAAAGGAATTAATTCCATCATCTGCAAGAGAGGTCTTGTGCTACCTGCAAACCACGTGTTAACCGTGATAGGGTTTGCAAAATACATTGGGGAGGTTAGAACAACAGAGGGAACTTGGGATGACCAGCATGGAGCTCCTTTGAATCTTCAGACTGTAAGGAGTCTTTCCCAGCACTCTGCGCGTGCTCCCTGCCTGTCTTTTCAAGACAGGAGAAGCTTCCCGTGGTCTTTCAGCCATCCCCAAAGGCTGGCTGCATGCAACAAATAAAGGAAATGGTTGGGTAAAAGGACCGGCGCTGGAATGCGGTGGTTTGGCTCCAGAGATAGACTGCCCCTAGAGCTGGAGGTTCCATTTAGTTGCCTCACCGCCAAAATATGGTCTCCTCCTTGAATTTACCTACAGTAGCTGCCTTGGCATAAAATGCCCCACTGTGATTCCTCAAAAACCTGTTTGGTTGCTCCCGGGAAGATGTGGTGAGTCACGGGTGCCCCACGGCTCCTTTTTGGCTCCTGATTCTGACAGGAGGGGTAGCATTTAGCAGGCACAGTGGCTGAACCTTGGCTTATCCCCCAGTCTGTCCCGCCTCGAACAAGCCTGGATCCCAGAATCAAACTCCGTCTTGTTTGTGTTTGCCTGAGTCTTCCTAACTTGCTAAATAGGAGTTTTCTGATCTGTTGCAGCTGAACCCATATTTAAGCTGTCTGTTCTGTTTTGTTTGGGGTTTTTTTTAGAGCAACTGCTGTTATCGGGGTACCATTCAGGGGTACCTCAACTCTTGGGCCAGTGTCTGTGTGTGCTCTGGTTTAAGGTAAGAATTGGCAAAATTGGCAGAATTTCCCTCCCCTCCCCTTCCTTCCTTCCTTCCTTCCTTCCTTCCTTCCTTCCTTCCTTCCTTCC